GCAGCGGTTTGATACACACGCGCAGCAATAATACAATACTATACGCGACGATTCCGTATTTCACGTGGGGCCTCTCACCACCGACTGCTGCAGACTGTCCGCAGTGCGTATTATTCTTTTTTTTTTTTTTTTATTTGTATTAGCAGTTCTTTGCACATAATATTATATTGTATTATTATAATATATGGAAGTGCTTATATTCATCATTATTGTTATTATTATTATTATAGGCCAGCCCGACTTGCAGCTCGCCGCCGCCGAACGATAAGACGTCTCCGCCGCCACCGACGACGTGCCACATTATAGACCGTTGTAACTAGCACACGGTAATAAATACACGCCATCGTTGCAGGTAAATTTGCCGCTACGACGCCTGACACCGTTGTCGTACATATTATATTATTATACGCCTTGTATAGTAAAAAAAAATATCGTGTAGGTACACCTACGCTATTTTGGGTGCCGTGGTGCATATATATCGTAGGCGCACAAGGGAAGAACTGCATCAGCTGCAGCACGAGGGCTGGGAGCTGTGAAGTCACATAGGTACTGCACAATATTTGTATCGTCAGAGGCCTATCACGAGGGGAGGGCGGCAAAGTAGACATTTTGCAAATGATTTTAAGGGGTGGCAAATTTTTGGAGATTTACGCATTGATCATATGAGGAGGTTAAAAATTCTGAGCTTAAAAAAATATTACTATTAAATTTAATTGTTTTTATCGATTTTTATTTGGTTAAAATATTATGTCCTCAGCTGTAGTGAATACAAATGTTTAAAAAATATGATCTAGTTAAAGTATAATTATTAATATTATATGTTTAATTGTTGTAAATAAATAACGGTAATTACTAATTATTAATTAACATAGATTTTTAATTTAATATATAGATATTGCAATTTATTAAAGTTCAGAGTACCTAAAAATGTATATTTTACTTTATAATTTGTAGATAAATAAAGAATAATATGTTAATGTTTCATGACAAGAAAATATTTCTTATAATATCTAAAACGTATATATACCTACTGCAATACATAAAAATAATGGATAATTCCTAACAACTATTTTAAAGACACTTAAATTGTGACCTCGAACTCTATGGGGTGGCAAATAGTTTTGCCTCCGTTCACACGCTGATCCTTAATGCGCAGCTGTGTCACGTTCACAAGATTGGAAATAATCGAAGGAGTACCCCCTCCCCCCATCAACATCCACCCACCACCCACCGCCCTATATTTAAGTGTGCGCCTATGGTATATATTTTATTACAATATTTTATGTATTATTAATGTTTTGCTTCGGTTGGATTGGTATCATTCAGTATCTACGACAATATTAGATTTCATAGATGGTTCATTAGTATAGAAATAGTGTGCTTCACACGATGTTTTACGTCTACGTACACTATACAGTCTACAGACGTGGCTGGTATAATATTACTTATCTACTATTAAGTATTAACTAATATATTTTTGTATTTATAAATAAGCAGCGTACGGTGGGATGTCGATAACCCGTCACCATATCGTTAAAACTAAAAACGTATAATGTAACTAAATTCATAACTATTTTATTCATTTTTTACAGAAATACCTAAAATGTTATCTTTATGTCCATTGTTCTTTTTATTAAATTAAAGTGTTAATGTGTTTTTTTTTTTAAAACAACATTTATTTCAATTTGTGTGTGTCGAGTGGCGACAGTGGCGTATCGAAGATTTTTTACCTACTCTAGTTATAACTTTTGTTACAATTTGTTTAAAATACCTACATATTTCATTTCTTCATAAAATAAGTTATCTCGTAATACTGTTATTAGTTATTACCACCATTAGGTACTAGAAAAAAGCTATTTTGTTGAACATAATAAACAAAATCATTAAATTGCGTGATGAACTGGTGTTAGATGCATAAACATAAATTATTACACCAATACACCATTAACTTCTTAAAAAATAAGTATACTATATAAGTATAATTATAATAAGTATCATCCAATATACTCAGACACAGATCCCTATTTTAAATCCGTGATTTAATTTTGAATATATTCGCACAAAATATGTACAACACGAGTATCTACAAATAAATTACAATTGAATTTCTACTTATGACTAATGACTGACTTATTGGTTCTTTTTCTATTAGTTCTAAAAGTCCGTTAGGACAAATGTACCATTTTATTAAAATTTGCTACATAAACTCTTAAAAAGTACTGCCTGAATAAATCATCTCCATAGTCATTCAGTCCTTCTGTATGCGCCACTGCAGTGTAGTGTGTATTACGGTTGTGACGTCTTGTAGTCCTAAACTTAATGAAATATCCCCACTTTTGGTAAGTTTGAATTGTTATCGACGTCTTACTGTATTTGCAGTTTGTTGTAAATTAGTTTTACTAAAATATGCTCAAATACTGTACTATAAAATGCACGTACCTATAATTTTTATTCGTTACCTAGTAGTTTAGTAGAACAAAATTATTTTTTATTTCACGCAATTATAGAAACGAATATAAATTTAAAAAAAAAACGAAATAATTATGTAACGTAAAACCTATTCTGTGTGTATTTAAGTATTTCAATGAAACAAGTTAAAACATAATAAAACTATAGTTCTCTATACGGCTATAATATGTGAATTAATAATAGGAAATAGTAAGTTAAATTCCTATTATTTGTGTTGGTAAATAAGCCAATTTTAAATTTTGTCCCCGGAAGTTCAATTAAAATATTAAAATGGGATCTTAGCTATTATTTCCATATTATTTGTATTGATTATACGAAACAACGATTATCCCATACGTTTAAATTTCTTAAATCATAATTTAAATCATGAATAATAATAATAATAATAATAATGGAGCCATAAGTATTGACGGTATTGTGAATACATTTTAAAATATCAATAGATTTTTAATTATGCCATTTAAAAAGATACTAAAAATTGACAATAATAATTAATAATATTGAAGTTTAAAGTAGGTAGGTGCCCACAATATTAGAAACACAGTTTTAGTAATCATAATTTATATTTTATAATGCTATAAGCTAAAACCTATTTTTTTTTACTTCTAACGTAATAATATAAATTTGCCTATAAAACGATTTTAGTACCTACAGGCTACAGCATAAAATAAATAATAGCATACCTATTAAGATTTAAGACATTTTTATAGAAGCGTCATTACTGTACAAATAAATGGTTATAGCTATCATAGGTGTGACTCTATTTAATTATAAAAATAAATGCGAAATGGTTGAAGTCATATGCTCATAAAGTAGGTATATTTAATACAGTTTTGTATGTGTACCTAGTAGGCATCTTAGCAGCTAGATATATAACTATTTTAAACAAACTGAAAATGAGAAATATCTCAAGTATCTGTGAAATAAATAAATAACAGATTTAATATCATAACATTGGAGGTTAAATAAATATTAAATAAGTATGTACATACAACAGAACCTATACTAATTACAAACATACAGTAAATTGTGATTTCATAGAATAATTATTTTGTATGTTATGGGTAAACTTATAATATTCACTAAAATTTTCTTAACGTAGTCTGCTCAATATATCGCTATAAAACAAAAGCATTGACTATTGACTTAATAGGTACTATTGTACTAACATATTTCATGACGTAAAATATACCTATTTTAAATTAAAAAAATTAAATTATAAAAATAAATATAGATGTCTCCATATACTTAATTAATCATCACATTAAAAATTATATTTACTATACACTTGTATGCCTATATAGGCTATAAGTACCTTAGCCCTTAAGTACTGTTATGCGTCACTTGGTGGGCTCAAATTGTATATTTATAGAAAATAATACTATATAGAATCATAATACCGTGTGACCGATCTAACTCTACTTAAATACAATATAATTTCAATAATAGTTAATCAATAATAGGTATGCTACGATATACACAATGTACATAGTGCTGTATGTTTCCAAATGATTATGAATTTGGATTTTATATTAAATCTTTAGTTTTTTTAATTTTTTTAATATCATTTTAATATATGGGTATATGAGGTAGGTATATCTAATAGATTTTAGCGTTTTTTTACTATAATATGTAAATTCTAAAGAAATACATTATGAATTATGATAAAATGTACTCGTGATTGTATAGGCTGTTTAGTGTTTAGAAGTAGGTATACTTTGTAACAATAAAAGGGATTCAGTATATGATTTATTTGTTGGTGAAAAATCTATTGTATAGCGGTGATTGCCAGTTTAAAATGTTTTAAGAAAGAATCAATTTAGTAAAATTATTAGTGTAGTTTTAACGTATTTTTATTTTTTTTCATACCCATAGTGGTAAAATATTATATTTATATTTTTACTGCAATACATTCACATTAATCCACAATACATGATTCGTCAATTTTGAATATATTTTCAATCTAACAGTTATTAGAAGTGAACAATATATTATCATGTATTACATTTCGGGTATAGAGTTGAACAATTATACATAAGGTACATAAATAAAAATAAAAATTATAATATTAAAGTAAAAAGATTATTGTACAAAAATATAAAACTTTTATTTATCCATACGACTATATAGTTATACAATTTTGGTATAGTATTTGAGTTTTGTTAATATTTGTATCACATTTTATCACATTAGTTTTAAATCAATGTTAAAATATCAAATATAGGTAGGTATAGGTGTACAACAAAACATTATTAATAAATAGGAATTTTTAAGTAGTTTGTTTGTAAATATTTAAGATGTCATGTATATATCTTTATGTCTAGAACCTATAAATCACAGTGATAATATACCTATGTGTAAGACACGTGAATATGAATTATAATAGTTATAATCACTCATTTCTTTGGTCACAAATAAATAAAATGTTTGATTAAATATTATGGTTATTAACGTAATGATTACTTTTTAAATAGTGATACATTGTATTATATTATTGTATGTAAGACAGTACTGTCACTGGACCGTTAGCCATGCCGGGTATTGTATCCAAGTCCCATAGAGCAGCCGGGGACAAAAACGTCGTCACTCATGTGTTCCGCAGAGTAAGGATTTCATTGGCACGAGAACCATCTAACCTCTCCAACGAGGAGGTCATGCATCATCCCGAAATGTATAGACTAATGACATTCCTTGAAAGTATGCCGGTAGAAGAGCGAATTCTTGAATTTTCTGCACCAACTCCTGAAGAAGAACAAGAATACTTAGCAGAAAAAAGAATTCGTGAAACCGAAGAAGCTCGTAGAGTCCGCGAAACCGAAGAAGATCGCAAGAATTACTTGAACCGGTTCTTCCGTTAAGATATTAAATCATAAAAGTAAGTTTGATCAATAATGTACAAAAAATTACATTTATAATAAATACATATCATTAGCTATTATAGGTATGTCTAGAGAGGTATATAGGTAGGGTATTTGTATTTCAATAGAAATTTTTTTTAATATTCTTAACCAAAAAATTTAATTAATAACACAATATATATATTTTTTTTCAAGAAATATTGTTACAAAAAATTCAAATTATTTAATACATTTTATATGTGTTAAAAGTTAAAAATTAATATTCAACAATGTTTTTTTATATTTCCAAATAATTTATCAGATGATAAACATGATACAATGTGACGAAGAATTTTAATTTTATTAGTAGCTTTTAGATTCTGAGCGGAGCGATGAATGTATTGATTTTATAATGAAGTGTGTTTTTCCTTATTAACTAGTTTTTTTTTATGTCTATGTATACGACAATAGTAGTCGAAATAATGATTCGATTTTCAACTTCAGTATCTTGTTCGATGAGAAAGTAAATCTAGTTGGTGCACGGGAAAAACAAAAAAAAAATTAAGGAAAAAAGGGAATTTTTGTTCAGTTTTTGGCAAAATCGTTTTTGGTTTTTAGTGTAATTCTAAAACAGACTACCGTAGATACGTGCAATTTCCACTGAATGTTTATATTACCATTTGCTATTCATCATACAATTTCCAAAATAAATACAAGACTTCTAATATATTTTTACGATAGCAGTTGAAAAATATTAAAAATACATATAGTCACCATTTTTTTAATTAAATCATTTAAAGTTTAAATTTTCATAAATTAAGTAAATATCACACATATGTACTAATTATATTGAGTTAGAAATCCATAAAAATATTTCTTTTTAAATCTAAAATTTGAAAATTGAAAACAAGATTCCTTGTTATTTTTTATAAATTTATTTAAAAAAAAACGTCTACCGGAATGTCAAATTAAATTTATAGGAGCCATCGAAGTAAACATTTTTACAATATTGGATACTCAATCGTTTCACATGTAGCGATATTTTTACTTTGTTGTAATTCAAAAAAATAATATAATATTCATATATTAGTAAAGGACGTTTGGATATACATTTTTATTTAAAAAAAATTATTTTGATAAATTAAAATATAGTTTGAATAAATAGGTTTTTTATTTTTAAACAAACTGTGAGATTGGTTATAAATTTTCATGGTTGTTATACAAATTATATTTATTCTATTTAAATTTTAATGTATAAATCAAACCTTCCAACTTAGTACTGTGTAGAAACTAGACATAGGCCTATAAGTAGATACTATTTCAAATCGGTTCTTTTATTTAAATAATTATATAATGGAGTAGCGGATCAATCACAATTATTAAAATGGATTATTTTTAAATAATAAATTACAATTTAGGATATTTACTATGTTGTACGTTTGGAAGATGCAGAAGACAACACATGCGGGTGTGGCGTCTTCTTAATGGTCTTATGTTCTTTAAGTATTTCAACTAATAAGCCATCAATAAATTAAAATCTCATTAAAACAATTTTCAAAATAAGACATATCAATTGTTTGAGGTTATATATTTTTAAAGATTTTAGACAAATTGTATTGTTTATGAGCTAGTGAAAATTAATAACAAATAAAGTATTAACTTATAATATTTTAATTAAAAATATTGATCGTTAATTAGATTATTCTAATATTTTTTATCATAAATGTAAAAATGTAATTATTTTCTATAGAATTATAAAAATTGATGTTCGATTTGGTGTGATTTTTAGATTCCAGGAACGTACCTTCATACCTACTTACCCAGGAGTTATCTACTTCATGAATCATAACTGTATTTTATTTTTGTTATTTTAATTAGATACCTAAATATTATATTATAAATTTAAGTTAATAAGTCAGTTGATAATTGTTAACGATATTGTATTATATTCATACTTTTTTTTCATCAACTATAACTTTTAACGAATATAAAATATGATTGCATACATAGGATATATTGCATACGTGCAATGTTCTATACTTCTATGTACTAAGCAGATATTCCGGGAAGTAGGAATAATACTCAAGTATAATATATTATCAATTTACACCACTTACCTCACAACAATTTCTAACATATTTAATAAACGTTAATAACGATCATGAATTGAATATATCTTAGCTAACCTTACCAATACTATTTATTTGAAATTGTATTATATTTAACATTATATAGCAGACATGGCAATGCGTTGCTATTGCTAGGTTTTTATGATTATGCGAGCAGTATATTATCCCTTATCAGGTAGGAAATCGAGGACCCCGCGTGGTGGGAACGTTAGTGTATAATTTATTTAACTCTAAAGTATCAAAAAATGCAAAAAATTGGTTCACCAAAACCGTGGTTCGAACTTGATACACTCAGTACTAAAATACACAGGCTTTTCTCATTAATAATAATAATCTCAAAATCCCTGTTTGACCTCTTATTTACCTGTTTTTCGACCAAATGTAGAATATATTCTTCCCTGAGGTCTAATCTATCTCTGTAACAAATGACATTGCAATTGGATGAACGGTTTAGGAATACATAAAGGACACTTGAAGTCGGGTACAAACATTTTTGTCTTTTATATATTATATAGATAGCTAGATAATAGGTATCTATTTTTGTTTTATTTTTTTTTTTATTATTTACAATCTATATTTAATAATACAAAAAACAAATTTGATGACAAGTTTTTTAACATGAGTTCACATAAGAGAAAATATCCACTGATATACCAGAGTTCAAGTATAAGCAAATTTTCATATTTTTAGTTACCTACATGCAGTGCTATCTTTATTTTTTTTATTTGATTACGCCATTTTCATTCCATAGAAGTATGCAAATTGGTTGAGATACATCCAACGTATTAATCATTTTTAAGAATTAACTTGTTAATAAAAGTCGTTAGAAGCGAGATTAATGGGTTAATATGAGATTTTAAGTCGTCAAGAAAGGAAACTAGTTTTTGTGAAATGTCAGTCTCGGCGTTAGTAGAAGATTGATTAACGTATGGGATATTTTTAGCTGTTTGTACATATGATTTATTTGAATGGTATATATTACTTGAACTAGGACTTTGACTGTTTGATTGGTTTATTGGTTTGAGGACTTGAGGTGATGGTGGATTTTTGAGTGATGGATTTGTTTTTTTGTTGTGAATATTTTATCTGTGGAGTTCTTTGTGTTTAGGACATCCCCTGAAGATGGTGGTTGATGTTGAGGTTTTTTTAAAGTTTTCACTTAAATGTACATTTAACACATTTGGGAGAATGGTTGCAGTATTTTTTAGTGTTGCCATAATTTTGACATTTTGATATTGCACTAATTTTTTTTTGACACGAGGTTCCTCTACTTTTATTTTTGTGTAACATATAGAATATTAACGTTGAATATTATGTCAAGATTATTGGGTGCAAGTTCTAGGTCTACAAAGTAAAGTTGTAATTTTTGTTTTGGTTTGTTTTTGGAGTACGATGTTTATGTTTCAATAACTATGAAAGCAAGAACTTCTAGTTCATATTTTATGTTTTGTATTTTGGTAAAGTGGTGTAGGTTCCTGACAACGACTCTGAACGCTCTTTCATGTTAAAGTTGATATGTATGATATTATTGATATTGAACTTTACATTCTTGTAGGAATTTGATAATTACTCTGTAATCTGTATGTATTTGACGTATTGGTGGTTAGTTTTATACCATTTGTTGATCTTTTACATATAAATTTATCATCATCACTGAGTAACTTGTTGATTTTATTACAAAGTAGGTCGAAGTTACATACATCTTTAATAAATATTAGTGGAGACCGATAGTGATGGAGCCTCCAATTATCATTTGTAGAATTGGGATATATTGGGTTGGTGAATTAATATTACTATTTGGCACGCTCTGTACTCGTAATTTTGGAACTGACATTGGAGGTACTTAATGGCTTTCCATAAGCACCGCTCTAGAGCGATAAGATTAGTAAGTTATTTAGAATTGTAGTTATAACAACGGTTTGGGTAACGGCAATCATCCGTGATCCTACGACCGAGTTATTTTTGATTAAAATTGTTATAAGTACTAATTTCTCTGTTGTATCGGAGTTTGCCTTTTGAATACTGTGTAATGGTAATTGCTGTTTTGATGATGTTGAGACGATTTTTTTGGTTTTTAAATAAAGAAAAATTGTCATGATTAACTTATGATAGAACTGATTATACGGAGAGTGATGTATGTACAATGTGGCACACACTCCTATCATCTCGAGACTATAATAAAAGGTATCTAAAAAATATTTAATTAATAATAACACAGGAACTACGTATTTTTAATTTTGTATTAATTTTATCCTAAGCAAATTAACAAATGTTAGAATTTTGCATTTTTTTGAGATATTTTAAATTCAATTAAAATATAATTTGATAGTCATCGATAAATATTAAGTATAATGGCCAATGGGTTAATCGGCAATTATTCACAATTTTCTGGAAAATTAGGTACCTATACCAGTGGCGGTTTTAGTAGTTTTCAGAAAATTGCTGCCGGCTGAAATGCCAGATTTTGTTTAAGTAGTAATTATTTTGAGCATCTCCTATCGGTTGATCGCTATTTTTGGTAATAAACACGAAATTATATACAGTATAATAAATTCATAATTCATATTATTAAATTTCGTATAAAAGAATTTTTCCTCAAATATTCTTACAAAATAATATTTACTCACGATATAATTATTGTGTAATTCGCTAAGAATTTGTAAGTTTTTACACATACTACGTGACCCGTCACGCTATTCATAGGCGCTCTCCTTAGGTTAGGCTCTTTGTTAACAATAAATTGGTCGTATAACTGTATTTAGAATTATCTATATAGCCACAGAAAAACATAAGTTAGAGGAGTTGTAATATCCCGATTTCAAAAAAAATAAATGAAAGATATATCATTATTTTAAAAATTAAAGTGTTTTAATTAAATGTTCTATTCAAAAA